TACGTATGTATGTATGCATGTATGTATGTATGTATGTACCTACCTACCTACCTACCTACCTACCTACCTACCTACCTACCTACCTCCCTCCCTCCCTCCCTCCCTCCCTCCCTCCCTCCCTGCCTGCCTGCCTGCCTGCCTGCCTGCCTACCTACCTACCTACGTGAGCAAGGACATCATAAACCAATGCCAGGACAAGCCATGTCCAGACTCTATGGCAGGGATGATGTGGCCGGGCCGCTTTCACTGCAGAGTTCTATTGTGCAGGCGGTCGCCGGGGGATTTCGGCCTCTTCGCCCGGCTCTTCGGGGCGGTTCTCCTTCCCTTCCTGACGTTCCCTTCTCAGTGCCGCCATTGGATGGGAATGCAGCTGAGACTAAGGCGTCGTCAGTCATCCCTCCTCTTCGGGATCGTGCACCTCTTCAGCTTGAGCATGACTCCAGCTCTGACTCCGAGGACCCCGAGCATGTGCCGCCGCAGGTTGAGTCTACTTCGGCCGCCCCGGCTTCGGCGTGGGAAGTGGTGGCCAAGGGTCCTGAGACGCCGTCACCGCCCGACTTGGGACCGTCTGAGGAATTCGAATTTCTCTTCAACCCCCTCACCATGATCGTTCACCTTGCTAAACCGTGCAAGGAGGACCATCCAGCTTGCCAGTACAGACCGAGAATGGGGGCGTCAGATGAGGCCCCATTGAGGCCGGGTTGTTCCATAGGGGGCAATCTGACCATTGGCTCTCTTGTCCGCACGTCGGAGATTCCGAAAGGCGCACGCTTGTGCCTTAACCATGGCTGTGGTCGTGACCCTGCCGTAGCTTCCTTGCTAGACACGTGTTCTCCCAATTGCAGCCTCGCGGCTTCACGTTGGGCTGCTCTTCCCAGCCAGTCTGGGACGTTGAGCACCTACACACCTTGCGCCTGGCGATCGGCCTTAATTACGGTCTTCGGCAAGTCCAGCTATACTGGTTCATGCCCTTCCATGGCCCCCCCCGGCATAGGGAGGCCATGGCGTTTGGATCTGCCCAGACACTGCAAAATTGTGCTCCCGTGCTCGCTTCAGTGACTGCCAGGCTATTTGTGGTGGACATTCGCATCGCCCCTGCAGCTTAGGCTTTGTCGTTTGTTAGTGCAGTGTGCCGGTAGCCATGGCAGGATCGTCGGTCATGCTGGATGACCCAGCCGCTTTCATGGCACTCCTTGCACGTTGGGCGGTCCCCGACACCGTCAAGGACAGGCTGAGGGATGCCGGGTACTCTACCATGGCCCTCTTGGCCCATGCTCTGCCTTCCCTGGACGACCTGGAGTCTTTTGTGGAGTCCCTTTTGGGTCGCGCGGTCGGTGCCAGCGGATCATGGGACTTAGTAAATAAGGTTATAACTACCTTAATTGGGGTTATAATTACTTATCAGTATCAGTATAGTTACCTTATTTATAACCCTAGTTACTAGGTCCCAAATCTCAAACTCTGTGCTCTGAAAGCCTATAACGTGACACGCTGAGCCCTGGATCCGGGAGCTTACGGCTTTCCGTCGGAATTTGGGGACGATGCGGCTTTCCGGGGATGGTTTTAGGAGATCTGTTGCACGGTTCCCTTTAAGGGTTTTGGTCCCTGTGTTTCGCCTGCAACACTAAGCCACACCGAAACTCTAAACCCAACCCTAAACCCTAAACCCTAAACCCTAAATCCTAAACCCTAAACCCTAAACCCTAAACCCTAAATCCTAAACCTAAACCTTTACCCTAATGAAATCCACGTGACACCCAAAGCATATAGGGTCTATAGGGTTTATAAGGTTTAGGATTCAGGCTAGTTGGGGCTTACCGGCACCCCTCGATGCCTAAATACCCACTATGAAGGACTATAAGGGCTCTAGTAAAGGGTGCTCCTGGGGTGCTGGTAAGGTACTAGGCTTTCGGCGTTTGGCTTCAAACCCTAAACCCTAAACCCTTAAACCCCTAAACCCTAAACCCCTAAATCCTCAAACCCTTAAACCCCTAAACCCTAAACCCTAAACCCTGAACCCTAAACCCTAAACCCTAAACCCTAAACCTTCAAGTTCGGGGACTGTGGCTCTGGGGGCGCCTTTACGCCTTTGCCGAGCCAGGAGCTCTCCTCCCTGGGCGTGGTCCGTCGACGGAGATGCGCTGAGATCGAGGGCGGTTTAGGGTTTAAGGCCCTAAATGGGACCCTATAAATTCCCTTGAAGGCCCTAAACTCCAAACCCTAAAACTCTGTAAATCCTAGAAGCCCGAAATGTCGAGAGCAGGATTAGAGATTCAGGGACACTGCTATGCCCGCGTTGGTTGCATGTGACTTTTTGATCCCCAAACCTTCTGAAACCCGAGTGATTTAGGGTTCAGGATTTAGGGTTTAGGGTTCACTCGAAACTTTCAAGCCAGACGAGCCTCTGAAAGTAATTCTGAAGTGCAGTAAGCAGGCAGTTTCCCGACTTAGATACCTACCTTAAGTGGAGATCTTCCAAATTATCAATTATCTCCCTACTTGTCCCAGTGAGGCTGAAGGATACCAGAGGGGCAAATGCATACCCCTTTTTCCACGTGGGTGGTTATCAAAATTATGGTCACTTTTGGGGTACCCTAAATAATAGGTGCCGAGGACCCAAAAAGGGACCATAATTTTGACAACCACCTACGTGAAAGCGGGCATTCTAGCTGAGCCCACGACCTACACCCTAAACCCTAAACCCTAAACCCTAAACCCTAAACCCTAAACCCTAAACCCTAAACCCTAACCCCTAAACCCTAAACCCTAAACCCATACCCACACCCCACCCCGCCCCGCCTCTCCCGTCTCAAGAAGCTGAAGACGAGCAAGGTTTAGGGTTTAGGGTTTAGGGTTTAGGGTTTAGGGCTTAGGGTTTAGGGTTTAGGGCTTAGGGTTTAGGATTTAGGGTTTAGGGGGCGGAAGTATTGCAGGGTGGCAGAGGCCTTCGTTGTTGTCCCGGTGGGCATGTTGAGAATGCGGAATTCGGAGGATCACAGTCTTTAGAGTTTTGTCTGTTTCTTTTCATTCGGTTGGACGTAGAGTCGGGGGTTTTTGGGGCTCAGGCTGTAAGCTACATATACCCGCGCTGGCAGGTCCGTTCTCGGCGGACTTTTGGCCTTTAGCACCATTGGTACAGGGTTTCCTTCAAGAGTACAAGAGGGCTGAAGATTTGGGTTTAGGGTGGTTTCGGTCCAATACAGGGGTCTTACTTACCTTTAACCTTAAACCCGTCCAATACAAGGGGCCTTCATTACCTTAAACCCGAAACCCGTCCAGTACAGGGGCCTTAGTTACCTTAAACCCTAAACCCGTCCAATACAGGGGCCTTGATTACCTTAAGCCTTAAACCTGTCCCAGGGGCTTTAGTTGCCTTAAACCCTAAACCCGTCCAATACAGGGGCCTTAATTACCTTAAGCCGTAAACCTGTCCCAGGGGCCTTAGTTACCTTAAACCCTATACCTTAAGAGCCCAAAACCCCTTTTTTGTAGGTTCTTATTATAAACCCTAATGTGGGATTTATAGGGACCCGACAAAAAAGTAGGTTTTGGGTTCTTAAGGTAGACCCTAAACCCGAAACCTATGCTCTGCGCCCGGCTCCTGAGATCCCAAGGGCCCAAGGCCCCGAACTTGAGAGTTGAACCATGGACGATTCAGGGCTGGGCTAGGTTTCTGTTTCTTTGTTCAGGGTTTAGGGTTTAGGGTTCAGGGTGATCTATCAGGTTTGCGGCTTGCGGACAGCGTGGAATATCCAGAGGGTTGTTGTGTGCACTATGTCGGTGCGTTGGGATGTTATCATGTTGAGACGCGTGACTAAGTTGCGTGTAGGCGACACTCGTGGCATGGATGACCCTTTTACGAAACGGTGAAGCCTGAGATTCATCATTCTGAGGCAGCTCAAAGGCATCATCCGCTCCGGCCGGGTCACGGTCGATGGCGAGGCCAGGGCTGAACAAGAGCAGTCGTCTATGCAGGTTCCTAATCACTACTGACACTAGTCGGTTTAGGGTTTAGGGTTTAGGGTTTAGGGTTTAGGGTTTAGGGTTAGTGACTAGTGATACAGCAGAGATCATGCCAACAGCGGTGTCAGTGGTTTAGCCCGAGTATTGAGAAAACTGTTTTCTCGTCTGAGGTGCAGTGGCAATACCTTGGTGCCAGTACAATGTCAAGAACAGTCATAACAGAAAGGAGCCCTAAATTCTGAACCCTAAACCCTAAACCTGAAGGCACATGAAGCAACATTGGGACGATAATCACATTGCCAGAAAAATCAGCATACGGGTAGTCATGAAAGCAAAACAGTGTTAGAACCAAAGCCATCAACTTGTCCGGCGTCATCGCAGCAGTGCTGCGCAAAAGGGGTGCAATTAATCAACGAGTACTTGTAGCAGTAGCCGCAGCAATAGCAGCACATTCGTCGTTTTTGAAAACAGACTATTGGATTGCTTCCCAGACCCCAAACCTGAACCGTTGGGTGTTGTCTTTTGCCAGTCATAGGAATCGCTGGGTTCGCTTCAGCTCCTGCTTCTGGTATCATCACCTGATCATCGTGTGGGTAGTTCTCTAACTTAGGGTCCCTTTGGGGCTCCTTAACGGGATCTATGAGGGTTTCTTAGGGGGTACTAATATGTGTAGCTCTCTAAATTAGGGTCCGTTTTGGCGTCCTTTGTATAAGAGTGCCGTGCTATTGGGGCCCTAAAAAGGGACCCTAGTATAGAGAACTGCCCACGTGCACTCTCCTACCGTCCTTCAGTTGCTGCGTTTGGAGATCCCCGGCCGGTTGTGACGCGTCGGGCTTTATTGCTCGGATTTCCCACGGTTTAAATAGGGTTTAGGGTTTAGGGTTTAGGGTTTAGGGTTGTCAAGCTCCTCTTAGGCCCTCAACCCTACACCTTAAACCCCAAACCCCAAAGCCTAATCCCTAAACCCTAAACCCCAAACCCTGATCCCTAAACCCTAAACCCTAAACGCTGAACCCCAAACCCCAACCTTTACACCGGAAGCCCTAAACCTTAATCCCTAAATCCTTAACCCCAAACCCTAATCGCTAAACCCCAAACCCTAAACCCCAAACCCCAGCCTTTAAACCACCCTAAACCCTAATCCCTAATCCCTAAACCCTAAACCCTAGTCCCTAAACCCTACACCCTAATCCCAACCCTTAAGCCCTAAACACTACACCCTAAACCCTACACCCTAATCCCAACCCTTAAGCCCTAAACACTACACCCTAAACCCTACACCCTAATCCTTGAACCCTAAACCCTACTCTCTACACCCTAATCCCTAAACCCTAATCCCTAAGCCCTAAAACCGGCCCTGCAGCCCTCGAGCCTGGTCCGAGGTGGTCCGGAACCTGAAGCAGGAGGTCCGGGGTTGGGGTTTCTTTGGGTTTTTAGGGCTTTAAGGGTTTAGGGTTTGGGCTATAAGGGTTTAGTGTTTAGGGTTTAGGGTTTAGGGCTTCAGGCTTTGGGTTTTTAGGGCTTTAGGCTTTGGGGTCTAGGGTTTTGGAGGTCCGGGGTTGGGGTTTCTTCGGGTTTTTAGGGCTTTAAGGCTTTGGGGTCTAGGGTTTTCGGTTTAGGGTTTAGGGTTTAGGTTTTCGGGTTTTTATGGCTAAGGTTTCGGGTTTTTAGGGCTTAAGGTTTTTTGGTTTTTAGGCTTCAGGTTTTCGGGTTTTTAGGGCTTTCAGGCTTAGGGGTTATAAGGTTTTCGAGTTTAGGGCTTCGGGTTTTCGAGTTTAGGGCTTCGGGTTTTCGAGTTTAGGGCTTCAGGGTTTAGGGTTTTCGAGTTTAGGGCTTCAGGGTTTCGAGTTTAGGGCTTCGGGGTTTTCGGGGATCTTTTCTTTCCAGGTATTTCTACGGGTTGAGAGGTGCAGTGTTCTGGGCTCCGTGAGCTTCAGCATCTCGATGTGGGTTTGGCGCTTCTTGGCGGCTGAGAGTGTCTTCATGCGAGCAAAAAAGGGAGCATGTAGATAGCGATGAGCTTACACAGGCGCTCAGCATTCGCCGTGCAGAGACGGTAAGTTCAGATCTGAGATGCAGCGAGCAACCCCTACCATGTGGCTTGTAACCCTCTTAGCCCATGAACTGTTTTTGTTCGTGATTTTTGTTGTGTAAGAAGTAGATGTACTTGTTCACTGTGTATATGTATAAAGACCGTCTGGCCAGGTTGTGTAGCTTTTTGCCGTGACATGCATGAATCATCACAGGCCTTGAAGCCTGAAGTCCTTTAGGGGGTTTAGGGTTTCTGAAGCTAAACCCTAAACCCTAAACCCCCCTTAGGGTTCAGGGCTTAGGGGCATGGCTGCTTTCAACTCCTCACGCCCCAACTTGTCGAAGCCTTCCAGCTATGCCCTGCCTGATATGTAGTGGTTTAGGGTTGAGGGTTTAGGGTTTTCCGGTACATGCGCAAACGTGGGCAGTTCTCTGAGTTAGGTCCGACTTGATCTCTGTGTATGGATGTATGGATGCATGGATGCATGCAGGGATGCACGGATGGATGGCCTCCCTCATTTCAAAAGTCCTAACATAAGCAGTTCCGGAGCCCTAAAAAACCCTAAGGGCCACATCCAACACCCAACGCCCTAAACTTTGAACTTGAAAACCCCTACCCTAAACCCTAAACCCTAAACCCTAAACCCTAAACCCTAAACCCTAAACCTAAACCGGAAGCTTAGAATCTGTTTCAGGAAGGGTCTGTTTTCGCTTGCTTTGGAGACCCAGATGCTGAGACGAAGGTCTAGGGATGAGGCTTTGAGGTTTGAGATTGGGGTTTAGGGGGTACCTGGACCCTAAAAAACCTCCCTCTTTCGAAAACTATTATAGAATACATATATATATATATACACATGTATTTATGTGTATATATGTACATGTATATATACATATATACACCTATATATATATATATGTATATATATATATATAGAACAGGAAATATGAGGGAGTGGCTCCTTTCCGAAGCAACCTTGATAGAACTCGTACAGTAGCCTTCTGATACTGTTGATGGACAAAATTCTGCATGACCCAAATATAGTATAGTAGCATAACACCCATAGTTTAGGTATATAAGGTCATGCAGGATTTTGTCCATCAACCGTATCATGGAGCCCTCGAAGGAGCTTGGAGAGCCCTTACCAAACCCTGCCATACCCCCCCAAACCCCAAACCTTAAGCTTATTCGTTTCAGGGTTTAGGGCTTTTAGGGTTTTAGGGTGTTAGGGTGTTTAGGCTTTACGGCTTTTAGGGTTTTAGGGTTTTTAGGGTTTTCGGGTTTAGGGTTTCAGGGTTTAGGGTTTTAGGGCACAACCCACAACCCTAAACCCTAAAACCTATACCCTAACAATCTACGAGACGACTCCACAAGGTGGCTTCCGAGGCAGTTCTGGCCATCGACGGGATCGAAATAGATCGCGTGGGGCGCCCAGAGGGCTTGGGGTGAGTATGTCTGTAGGGTTTAGGATGTGGATCTAGTTCAGGGTTTAGGATAAAGCGTCAGGGTTTGGGATTTATATATGATATGTAAATATACATGTATATGTTAACATATAAATATATATATATATATATATATATGTATATATATATATATATACTTATAGGTTGAGAAGCGTCGAGTGTCTTGGGGTGTTTCGGAGAGGGTTTAGGGTATAGGTGGTGGTGGTGGTGGTGGTGGTGGTGGTGGTGGTGGTGGCGGCGGTTTTGCTGCTGCTGCTGCTGCTGCTGCTACCGCTGGTAGCAGTGATCGCTGTCGCCGCAGTAGCACCGAGAAGGAAAACATGGTCTATATCGAGTCGATTTCGAACTTGAATTTGAATAGATGCTCGTTGCGACATCAACCAACAACATGTTCGCATGTAGTTTGTTCCTTTGGTTGGACAGCTTGGTTGTCATAACGCCCAATCTGCCCAAAGACTCCATCAAGACTGTTGTCAGGCACTCACCGTCCCGAACTGGGTAGGCAGTCGTCGTTATAGTTGTGGCGGCGGCGGCGGTGGTTGTGGTGGTGGTGGAGGTGGAATTATGGTAATGGTGGTGGTAATAGCAGTTGTAGCAAAGTGCGCAGCCATAGGCCTGATTTCTCTCGCAGTTCGGGCCGGGAGGTGCTTTGGATTTGAGGTTTAGGGTTTAGGGTTTAGGGTTTAAGGGTTTAGGGTTTAGGGTTTAGGGTTTAGGGGTTTAGGGTTTAGGCGTAAGTTTCGGCATTGTAGCTGCTGTCGGGTGCAAGATGATGCGTTTTACGGTGTTTTGTTCGATCCAGCAGCTCTTTCCAGGAATCCCAACCAGGCCCGGTTACTGAGATAAGAAGACTGCGTCCTAAACCTCCCTGAACCTTAAACACTAAGCCCTAAGCCCTATTTTATGTTGAGGATTAGGGTTTCACACGTCTTGCCACCAGCAAAACTGAAACCAAAGCCTAAAGTTCCTAAGCGAACGCCCTAAACGCGAAAACCTCAGCAGTCTGGAAAACGTCTTTCGTTTTTCACATTATTTGGCCGAGGCTATTGCTATGGCAGCGAGCATTTAGGGTTCAGGGTTTTCGCAGTCCTAAAGCCTGGAACCTTACCAATTTTATCCTGAGCCCAAAAACCCTGAACCGCAAACCCCAAAACCTACAACCCTAAACCCTAAAACCGACAACCCTGAACCCTAAACGCTAAAACTTACAACCCTGAACCCTAAACGCTAAAGCCTACAACCCTGAACCCTACACCCTAAAACCCACGACCCGGAGCCTGGGTCCTCAAGCTCCGAGTTTCGAAGCCCCAAGCTCATGCCGACCCCGATTCTAACCATTAAGGCGCTACATCTCCTCAAGTCCTAGACCCTAAACCCTAAACCCTAATAGGGTTTAGGGGTTCAGGGTTTAGGGTTTAGGGAGCCTAAACCCTAAACCCCGATATGGGCTTTGGAGCGCAAGCGACAGAAAAGGCCTTTTTAAAAAAGAAACCCTAAACCTTAAACCCTAGACCCTAAACCCTAAACCCTAAACCCTAGACCCTAAAACCTAAACCCCAAAGCCTAAACCCCAAACCCTAAAACCCTAAACCCCAAACCCTAAACCCCAAACCCACTTTAAGCCGTCCGACAGGTTCCACCGCTCCTCCTGAAGTACCACAAGCCCTACGACGTGATCAGCTCCATGGACGAGAAGGGGTGCCAGGACAGGGTGTAGCATAGAAGCCTAGTTTAGGGTTTAGGGTTTAGGGTTTAGGGTTCATGGTTTAGGGTTAAGGGTTTAGGGTTCAGGGTTTAGGGACAGGGTGTAGCATAGAAGCCTAAAGAATTAGTATTACGATTCCCGAGGCTTTCTTCATTATGATATCAAAAGTATATTATACCATGTTGTAGCATATTTATAGTATGATATAGTATATTATAGTATATTATAGTACATTATAGTATATTATAGTGTGTCATAGTGTACTCTGCCCCCAAAACCCAAATCTTCCCAATACACACCGATACACCAAGTTCTAAACACTGAGGCCCCTACATCACGGCTCTGTTTTCAAGAGTCGGGTCTTGGGAACTTAGCTTAGCGTTCTATGGTTTTTGGGTTTTAAGCCGCTTTTTTTGCTGTTTTTTTTTTGTTGTGGGGTTCAGACTGGGGAGTCTCAGCCGATGGTTCGAAAGTATCTGCATTGTAAGTGACTATTAGAAACTACTTAAGGGTTTAGGGTTTAGGGTTTAGGGTTTTCCCCAGTCCTTGAAGTGTCCTCCCATGGATGATCGGTTTGGTCAATGCGCCGAAGCCGCAAATTCAAGGTATGATTCCAGCAGCGTGAGTTGAGCCTAGGTATCCGATCAATTCCCCAAGCCCCTAAACCTAGACCGCACACCCTTAAACCCTAAAACCCTAAACCCTAAACCCCGAACCCGTAAACCGCACACCCTTAAACCCTCAACCCTGCCAGCCCGAATGAGGGCTCGAGGCTTGCAGTCGGGAGTTTTGCTACGTAAAGGTGCATGGTATCGTGTAGCTCGGGCGCAGGCTGCTTGTAAGGGCACTAAGGTTCTAGAGGTTCGCTTGAAGGGTTTCGGGTTTAGGGTCTACTTGAAGGTTCATGGTGCTTCGTAACAAGGTCAGGGTTCGTGGCTCAGTGTGTGGGTAGTTCTCGAAAAAAGGGCCCTTTTGATAAGGGTGCCTCCTTTTTTTGGGTTCCTAGCAAAGGATCCTAGTTACCTTAAACCCTAAATCCTAAACCCTAAACCCTAAATCCTAAACCCTAAACCCTAGAGAACTACCCATGTGTTTAGTGACTGGACAGGACACGAAGGACCCCGATGTAGACAGCATTTGTGGCCTTTGAGGTTTAGGGTTTTGGGGATTTGGGGTTTTAGGGGTTTAGGGTTTTGTGTTTAGGGTTTGGGGTTTAGGGTTTAGGGTTCAGTGGTTTAGGGTTTAGTTTTTAGGGTTTGGGGTTTAGGGTTTAGGGTTTAGTGTTCAGGGTTTGGGGTTTAGGGTTTAGGGTTCCTCTAGAATTGAAGGACTTTCCATGACATTCTCGATTTAATTCTAGGGGGTCCTCAGCAATCCTACTTGAGAAAGCTCGTCAACAGGAGTCCACTATTTAGGTTGGTTCAGGAGCCCTTAAAGGTAGGAGCCCTTTACGGGACAATTACAGGAACCCTGAACCCTAAACCCTAAACCCTAAACCCTAAACCCTAAACCCTAAACCCTAAACCCTAAACCCTAAACCTTCAACCGCTGTAGATATCTGAAGAGAACCCGCAAAGGAGCCCCTCACAGGATCCCCTAAAAGGACCATGAGCTTAAGGGTGTCCCCAGAGAACCCAACACACCTTCATTAAGGAATATACCTTAACCTCTAGAGGCCTTAATATTACGGTTTAAGCTCCAGTCGTTAATAACCCTAAACCCTAAACCCTAAACCCTAGACCCTAAACCCTAAACCCTAAACCCTAAAGCCGGTTCTTTGGGTCCTTGCTCTCTGGGTAGGATTTATCCGATGCGCTGCCCGGGCAAGCGGCGCCCTGGGATGAGAACGCCGCAGGGAGCTCGTGGGTTTGTGTTTTTTCTTTCAAAGGGTTTAGGGTTTAGGGTCTCGAGGGTCGGAATAGCAAGTATTACCATGCTAGCACCCATATCAGGGTTTAGGAGTTTAGGGTTTAGGAGTTTAGGGTTAGGGTTTAGGGTGTAGAGTTTCGAATTCAGGATTGAGGGTCTGGAGTTTCGGATGTGGGGATTCGGTCTTAGGATTTGGGGTTTGGGACTTGAGCCAATCGGGTTGAGGGTGTTGGTTTAAGGGTTAGATCTGAAGCCTGCAAACCCTAAACCCTAAACACTAAACCCTAAACCCTATTGCATTTAGGGGGGGCTCACTGGGCCAAACCTCGGAATGTGTAGGAAGTCGAGAGAAAGACGAAACCGTAGGGCACAGAGTTTAGGGCTTAGGGTTTGGGGTTTGGGGGTTGGGGTTTAGGGTTTGGTAAAGAACCCAATACCCCTTAATTAAGGGCTTCGAAATTCGGAGCTTGAGGACCCAGGCTTCAGGGTCGTGGGTTTAGGGTTCAGGGTTGTAGGTTTTAGGGTTGAGGGTTTTTGGGTTTTAGGGTTTGGGGTTTAGGGTTTAGGGTTTAGGGCTCAGAGTTTAAGTTTCAGGGTTCTAGGGCACAAGGTTTAGGGTTATAGCCTGGTCTCGTCTTGAAGTCTCTGCTCAAGCCAAGTAGAAATTACAGTAGGGCCCAGTAGAATCGATAAAAAAATATTGGAGATCATGTCTTGGCTGATCTTTGAACTAAGTTGAGTGTGCTGAAGAGCGTCTGATGCTCTAAGCCCTTTGGCTGAGCCGCATTGCTGCATGTTCCAGGCTCTGAAACCACCCTAAAGCCCTAAACCCCTAAACCCCAGATTCTGAAGCCCTAAACTACCCTAAACCGTAAACCCCAAAACCCCTAAACCCTAAACCCACCCTCCCTAAACCCTAAACCCTAAACCCTAAACCCTAAACCCTAAACCCTAAACCCACCCTCCCTTTCTTGGAGTGTTTAGGTGGAAGAGGCAAGGCTTCGACTCGGCCGTGGTCGCAAGGTGCCAGAATCCCAGAGTCGCGAGTGTGCCTTAAGGGTTTCGGGTTTAGGGGTTTAGGGGTTTAGGGGTTTAGGGTTCAGGGCTCAGGGTTCAGGGTTTAAGGGTTTAGGGTTTGGGCTATAAGGGTTTAGGGTTTAGGGTTCAGGGTTCAGGGTTTGGGGTTTGGGGTTTAGGGTTTGGGGTTAGGATTCGTCGGGGTTCAGGGTTCAGGGTTCAGGGCTTAGCAGCGTTTAGGGTTTAGGGGTTTCGGGTTCAGTTAAGGGTTTTGGATGTGGGGTTTAGGGTTCGGGTTTTCGGGTTTAGGGTTTAGGGTTCAGGTTTCAGCAGCTCTGGTCCGCGAAGCATTACAGTAAAATTGCATTTACGGGGTTTTAATATAACTCCCACCCACCCTAAGGCCTAAGCAGCTGATCTGGTACCTAAAGGCCAGCCCAGACTAAGCACGAAACCCTAAACCCTCAAAGGCCGGCCCAGACTAAGCCCCAATGTAGGTGGCCTTAATAATTACCTATACTATCTTGGGGTTTAGGGTTTAGGGTTTTGGGTTTTGGGGGTTCCTTAGTATAAGTACAGTATAATATACCCCAAAACCCTATTCTAATTATCAAGGCCCCTACAGTAAACCATATTTGCCTTCAGACTTGCCTTTTTCCGACAGAAGCTATTCTGGTTATAGTCCGGTGTAAGTTTGATATGGATACCCCAATCATAGCCCAAAACCCTAAACCCTAAACCCTAAACCCGAAACCCTAAACCCCAAACTCGAAACCCTAAACCCGAAACTCTAAACCCTAAACCCTAGACCCTAAACCCTAAACCCTAAACCCTAAACCCTAAACCCTTAACCCTTCAAGCTGGTCCCCTGGTCCCTTCATGGGCCGGGCTTCAAGGAAGGCGAGGCGACTCGGAGACCGGAGACCTGCGGCAGGTGCCTAGACCCCCAAAAGGAGTTTAGGGTTTAGGGTTTAGGGTTTAGGGTTTAGGGATTAGGGACCCTAACTACTAAAGGGTACTTTATAGGAGCCCCCGTAGGGGATCTATTTTTTAGATCCTTTTGGGGGTCTGGGTGTCGGGGTAACCCCGACCTGGGGCACGAGAGCCACGCGGACCTGGGCAGAGTCGGAGACGGTTTAGGGTTTAGGGTTTAGGGGTCGTGACGGTTTAGGGTTTAGGGTTTAGGGCTCAATGTCGGAGCCTGGTTAAGAAACCATGGTCCCACAACACCAAAATATTCGGATCCATATACGGAGCCCTAACAAAGACCCAAGGGTTCCTGAATCAGGCTCCAATCTTAGGGTTTTTAGGGTTGTGACTCCTCCCGCCGGGTGGAGGGTGAGGCGCGAGGATGGCGAGTTCTTCGGTTTTTGGGGTGCATGCGGCATGAATTTGCTTCAGGAAAGCTTAGATAATTGGCTGTTGAGGGTTTCAGTATCTTTGAGATGGTGTGCAGGTTGAGGGAGGACTGTAAAGCTTGCTCTCCAGGGCCGGTTTGGGGGGTTTGGGGTGTAGGGTTTAGGGTTTAGGGGTTCAGGGTTTAGGGTTTAGGGTTCAGGGTTTAGGGTTTAGGGTTTAGGGTTTAGGGTTTAGGACATCGGAGCTTTCGGAGGCGGCCTTAGCGATTGACTGCAGTCCATACAGCGGTCGTGATGGGCGCGTTGGGGCTGGTGCAGTGGGCCATCATGCGCTTCCTTCAAACAATGGCAATGAAGGCGCTGCTGGCTCATTGGATGTTGGACCCTAAACCCTAAACCCTAAACCCCTAAATCCTAAACCCCTAAACCCCCAAACCCTAAACGCTAAACCCAAACTCCTAAACTCCTAAACCCCTAAACCCTCAAACCCTGCCCTAAACCCCTAAACCCCTAAACCCTAAAACCCTAAAGCCCTAGACCCGAAA